AAACCTTCCCCGCTGCAACATCCCCAACTGAAACAAACTGACAAAAACACATAGATAATATGTTTCCAAAGTGTTTTCCATGTTTCTCCCGGGCAAGCTCCTTGATGGAAGGCAACGGGTGGCATGGGTGGTCTGCCATCAAAGCCAACACCGGGGTTAGCACAAACTTGTTCCTGGCGGCATCCTTGATGCACATCTTCACTTGACGCTCCTGACCCTCCTCCGGACCTTTGGCGGACACAAGCAGCCGATCCGCTTTCACAGCCACCATCCGTACTGCATGAGAAGCTTTCCACTCCTTGTAGATGTTTCGAATCTCACACTTGGGTTTCTCGGCTGTGCCATCGGCTCGAGGCATGGTATAGGGGTGACAGGCCCACCAAAAAGGGGGAACCAATGTCCCAAATGATCAAAGAATTGATCCAAAATGACTGCAGGCCGCAAATACCCTGGTCCTGCGACAAATCATGGGCTAAAGCTAAGACACAAGATCACCAGTTCTTGTCAAGTCTTGATCTCCTCTTCCCTCCCGGTGTCCGGACCGATTGTCATTGACTGTCCAGCCCACGGAGTGGAAAAGAACATCCGCGCTTGGGAGTTCCACGGGTGGCAAAGAGATTCTGAACCAGTGAGGTTGGAGACTTTCTAACAGCATGCATGGATACTCATGAGCGCCTTTTTTTTGGCAACTGCGTGGACATGATTTATATATCGAATATATAAATCAAAACTTCTCCTTTTGGCAGCGTTATAGTTTCATGCTGCCTTACCACCCCCCCAGCCAAAATGGCTCCATCCAGGCATTTTTCATCACCTGATGCGGCAGCCGACATTGGACACATTCAAAAACCTGGTTTTTGATATACCCTGTAAAACTACGGGTTGTTCTCAGAATAACTACGTAGGTTATTGAAAAAAAACCTTCCGTTTGAGCCCGGAGTGGGGCCCATGGCAGAATGTAATTATGATTTATGTTGCCTCTGTCTGAGGCAGGCCGAGCTTCTCCAAAGAAGACATGAATGCTTGAAGCGTCTTCCACAATCTCACAATTTGCACAAAGCGGAAGAGCCGCAGCACACGCCGCGCACGCGCCATGCGAAAGACGCCCGCGGGGCCGTCCGCCATGTCAGGAAGCAGGACGACGATGAGGTCAGGCACCAACCTGAGAATAATTGCCGCACACAAACCATGGCTGTATATATTATAAAATAATATAAAATATCAATATAGCCCTTAGTCACCTTAGTCGATGCATATATGATTGTGGCCAAACATAATGGGGCAAATCTACTTCGCTGCTGTTCATGGTTGCTAGCTGGGTCCGCGCAGGGGCAAAAGTTTGTCCAAGATTGGTGGAGTATTGCTGAAGTGCACACAAAGAGTGTCCATTCCATTCGTGCCCGAAGAAATATTGCATTCAATTGAGGTCCTTTGCTCACTTTGTCCCGTTTGGAACCTTTTGGTCGCATCCTTCAAGCTTCTTGGTGCCTTGACTGAGCTTTTGTGTTTGGGATATGAATTAAATAGGCCATGAGCATTTCTGTGGTGTGTCCAAGTGCACCCCAAGTTTGTGTGAAACCACTTTGTTTCAGTCTTCCCTATCACCAAGAAGGAACACCTGTTGCATCACTGAGCATTCTGACTCCACAGAAGTATGGTTCGATTCCTTCAAAGCCAAGTGGACATGAGCACGTCGAAGAGGAACCAGCTGCGGAGATATGCCCTGGCAATCTCTCCAAGGCGAAAGCACAGAATGTCATTGACATAAGTTGCTGTGAAGAAAGTTGCTGGAATGTCGAAGACCCAAAAGATGGTGGTGATCCACTGTAGCGAATCTGCCACACGGCGAGCGGAGTCATCCATGCGATACAACAATAGTGGTGCCACACTGATCTCGAAGAGGATGGCGATGACTGCCAAGCAATCCCAACAACTTCCTTAGCAAGAACGAGCTGCCTCGAAGATACGTCAAGCAATCATCTTTACTCTGCTTGTTCCAATACAATTCCTCAACAATCCATTTATTTATATACATAACCCTCAAAACATCTAAACCATTAAAATATCATAGAGCCTCCCGCAATCTATAGGCAAGTATTCCTTGTTTGGAACTGATTGGAGCTCGGGTACGCCCCTAGTGGAAGATTGACATTGATGTTTATTGAATTAATGAACAACGGAACAATGGTCTTCCTAAACAGGATTGTTGAACATCGCCCCAGTCTTCTGACCTGAACCCCGTACCGAAAACGGGCGGGGAGATCGATCCCTCAACCTCCCGCCACCTCCCGCCACCATGGCGCCAAGCCCGCCGGGCGGCGCTTCCAGGAATTCGGATGGGTCACGAAGATGGGCGCCTCGCTCATCTCCGTGTGTAGCAAGTACTGCCTCTCCACGTCGAAACACCCACGCGAGATCACGTCCCGGACGTCTCGGTCGAGATCTCGGTGACCCAGTGGACGTTCTCACGAGATCTAAGGTGGCCCGAAGAACTGCCAAGCACAGCAGCCTCAACCTCTGAACAATTACGGACCCTCAAAAGTCTTCCAGGCCCAGATTCAATCAGGTTGTTCTCATGTTGACACCCCAGCTACTGCTTCCACATGGTGTTGGTCGCATGGCCGAGACGGGCTGCGAGGTGCCGGACGTTTCACGCACCTCTTGGGCTGCGTGGGCTTGAGCGCGATGCTTCCAACCGACATGCGTCGTTGCAAGCGCTTCAGCTCCTTCAACCTTCCCAGGTGAAGAACAACTGTGAATTAGCGATGGCCTTCAACCTAAGAGCGATGGCCTCCAACCTACTAGCAATGATGGCCTCCAACCTAGTAGCGATAAAAGGGGGAATTTGAGATTCCGACGGCTTGGACATGTTGGGATCGGAAAGCTTGATATGTTGGGATCGGAAAGCTTTCACCGGAAGCAATCATAAAATGGAAGCCACAGGTGATTCTCATTGAAGTTGATAGTGCTGACCTTGACTACAGAATTCTATGGAATATATAAGTCTGATAGGCTTCTGGGTTCAAAGATGGAGAGCTCGCTGGATACATGCTGAAGACTAGAATCACTAGAATCCAGTCATCCAGATTTCTACCCATGCCCAATTCCCCGATTGCATGCTTCAGCGACGCGGTAGAACAGCAGAACCAGCCTGGATTTGAGGGGCCATAGTGCGGCTTTGAGTCAAAAGCTATGGTGTTGTCATGTGGCGTGGGAAGAATCCACGAGAATCAACGAGACACGGAACATCACCCCCCCATTGTGGCCAACCACATCGTACGTTTGCTTCTCTTCCGTTCGTTCCCACGGCGTTTCCGGCTCGGTGGGTGAGGGCTTGACCACCTCTCGGAGCTCTCGCCTCTCTTCTGGAAGATTCCATTCTTCTCTGAGCTGAAGTGCGGATTCCAGCGAATCCTGAGATCCCCGGTGAACCCGTTCAGAACCCGACAGAACATCGGTCACATCGGTCACATCGGTGGTGGAAAGAGCTCAACTCGGGAAGAACCAACGAATAAACGAAACAAAACAAAAAAACGTATTGTTTCTACTTAGCATACATTGTTACTATTAGTAAGGCACTTGTTGCTAGTAGCGATGCACTTGTTCCGTTCGTAGCTTACAAATGAGTGGAGTTTCCCCTGGGATGCGCTGCGGGGCTCCGAAAGCCTCGCGGGATGGGGCCAGCAGCTCTGTGGGCTGTGCTGCTGAAAAGATCTCGGTTCGGGAGAGCAGTTCTGTGGCCCTCAGACTGGAATTTGGTGGATTCCATATAATTATATATATATATACTACAACTACAGACCAAATCCATTGAACAAAGGATATGAACCAAAAGCATCCAGAAGCACAGAATGCAATACTGTTGTTTGGAATATATTGAAACAAATGCAAGCAGAACAACAATACTGTACACACAAAATATCATTACACATCGTATAGTTGTTCCATATTGTCAGCAGATCGGTGTTGTATATGACTTAAAAAACAACCATCTGCAAACAACCAAACACGAAATTGCAGAGTGTTGGATATTTTTGTGCAGGATTTGTTTGCATCTTTGTTATTCACATCCCCTGAAGCTTGTCCTATTCTGTTCATCCTTCACAAAATTGGATCTGATATGATCTGATTTTGTATTTCAGGGTTGATCAATTCACGAATGCAGCACGCATTCTTTCTGTTAAAGATTTAATATGCTCTTCTCCAATCCCTGGAAGCTTCCTGACTGTGTCGATCGTTTGGTAGGGAAATCCCATCCCATCTGGAAGGACCAATGGGACCGGCATCGAAATATGCACTCGGTGGCGGGGCTTCGGCAACGACACCAACGACACCCAGATGAGAACTCCAACGGCCGGTCGAATCAAACACCAAATCGACCCATCGACACTTTGGGATTGTTTAAAACATCTGCAAATGGCGCAGCTGATTCTTCGGGCCCTTTGGAAAGGAGTTGATTCTTCGACCTGTGTGTCACACTCAAGAGCAGGTCAAAGTCTGGACATGGTCGTTTCGTCGCAGCTTGTGCTGTCAAAAGTCATTGCATAAAGCCCAACGAACAGGGAAAGAAGAAACCCTGTGTTGCACTGCGTCTTTAAGTGGATCCACAGCCTGCTTCTCCTTGATATATGGAAGTTGTTTCTCTACCTATACTCCTTAGCGGATAATTGTACCCGTCTTTGCTGCCCATGCATGTTATATCAAGTTCAGAAAGGCTCTACTCTGATGCCATGTGTTCTCCAGATCCAGAAAAAGGGAACACGTCTATAGGGTCCACTCATGGTGATTGTCGCAAGTAACGTGAAATCATGTGCGGATGGTCGCAACGACTTCAACGTCGCGGCCACGTGTCAGCATCCAGTTCTTCTTCCATGTTTGCCGTGGCCTCTCCTGACAATGAGACAGATGGAGGTGCCCTAGCAACTGGGTGGCTCATGGTTGCAATTACGGCAAGTAATTGAGGTACGAATCCAACCATCAGTGAAGACATGTCAGTGTCAATAGTGAAGGTTAACCGGGGTCCTCAAAGCTCCAAACCGTGGGGAGGCGCCGATTTGTAGTGATTATGGAATACCATATTGATCACCATATTGATCTCTAATTTGGGGGACACCAGCACAGGTCATCCCCACAAAAGTGCTTTTCGATAAGGGAACTCTGCCAGATCTTACCGTCTTTGCTCACTTGCCCTCAAGGAACTGGATGTTGTCAACTTTTGCAGGGACATCAACATGCTCCTTTCTTTTGTGGAGAGTCTGCCAACACTTTACGCAATCGCATGTTTCCCTTGTAGACCTTGGATGGTATCTCAGATATGAAGCCTATTAATCTATTAATCTATTATATGGAAGTCCCAGTTTCTTCAAATGAAATCGACATGAATGGTCAATGGGAAAATCACAACGCCACACTTCTCCCATTGAACATCATCCTGTGCAAGTTGCACCATGCATGCCATGCACTCTCTGCCAAGTCTCGTGCGCGCTTCATGAGCTTGTTCGACATTTTGGTGGATCGTGGGGACAAACTGTTTTGACTCTCTGCACTGACTGGAATACTTCTCTCGCCAACCACTGGGCCAGCTGCGTTGTCGAAGTCGTCGGCCAAGATCGAGGCGCTCTCGGGCAAATTCAAAACGCTGAGCGTCGGGTTCTGCGGCGGTCGGACCTCACTGAGTGGGACGATGGAGATGCGACGGATGGCAGGTCAAATAGGAAAAACATATGGAAAAACAAGAGCTTTCACCCAGGACCTGGTTGTAACAGCAAGTATCGAAACATGTCGAAACCATGATTTGGATGGTTTCGAACATGATATGGACATCATTGGACATCTAGCAGCTAGCACAACTGGCGAATGTCCGGCTACATTGATCCACGAATGCAGCACCGGAAGGACGAGCTTTGCTCCTCCCGGTCCTTCGGTCGATTGGGTGCTCCAAAGGGTAGAAAACACCGTCGAAGAGGTCATCCACATCTTATCACCGTATCACCTGGAGGTCGAAGCCCTGCATCCTAACCACACTGCTGCTCGGTCTTCCAGTCAGGAGGACCTGGGTGGTGCCTCGTCCCAGGGCTGGATCGACCTCCTTCCGACCGGCACCTAACCCTCGCTCGTTCGTGACGGTGGATGAGTGGGGAGTGATAGGAGCCCCAGAGCCCCAGAGCCTCGCCAGGTCCGTCTCAGTCCCAGTCGCCTGCGCATCTTCCAACGACCCGTTCCGCGGGGTGCGGGGCGCTGGGATCGCCATCTTTGACTTCGGCTTCGCTATGGCCAGGTCCGTCTCGTAGGCGTCTCGAAGTCTGCCCTGAAGGACCTGGTTGAGACACGAGAAGAACCGTAGCGTTCATCGAGAGCACGAACGGATGGGACGTGGAACGCCAAACCACCGACATGATCGGATCAATAGGCCAGTCCCAGAGGCTATATATGGGTTTTTGGACGGATCGGAACCCGGGGAAAGCCCAGCAACTCGGAGTTGAAAGTTGAAAGAGAAAGTCTGAGGCAACGAGTGTTTTTGAACAGTCATGTAGACCTGTAGTATAACAATGATAACAATAGAGGTACCTCGGCTACTGACCTATCCAGAGAACCTTATGGCAACAATGGTCTCCCTGGTCTTAAAAGCCAGAAAATGCCGATATCACTTATGGGTGGTTTAATGCCTGAAAGAACGGTGCATACAAGAAACAACCAGGTTTAAAACTCTTGAGACTGATTTCGGCCTAAGAAACCGGAAATGGAAGTTTGACCTGTGAATCCCTTTACAACACTGCCTAATTTCTGATCCACGGGGTTCTGCATAGCTCAGTTGACCTCTGCGAGGGTCTATGAAGACCCGGGGTCCCCGGCTGTTTCTGCCCCGAATGAGCGTATCTTGGACTTCCAAAGCTCACATGGTTCACTTGGCTCACCACTCGAAAGAGATCCACTGGAGTGCCTCACTGGAGTGGTTCACCCTCAACATGACTCGCCTGCATTTGCTCCAAAATTTCAAAAAAGGCATTCACCTGCGGTTGGAGGGCTGCTGGAGGCTTCAAGGTTTGGGAAATGATTACATACATCTGCTAGAGGGAGCATTAAGACTATATATATGATGAACATAATGTATTTATATATATTATATATATTTTAAAAATTGTTACTACACTTAATCTATTGTAGTCGTCAGCAAAACACTAAGACAAACAAACCTGGGCATGTACAACATCAGCCGGATGTTAAAGACACATCGTTGAGCGTCAGAACAACCGAGTCGGTGAGCGTCAGAGAGCTTTCTGTTTGTACAGACATCAGTCGCCAACCCCACACCATAAGCAGTTTGCCATGTGAAGATTGAGCCTCTTTTTGGATCATGATCATGCATCCAGCTTTTATGGCCCAAAACAACACATACTGCCCACTCTGTCTACAGGATTCTACACACAAACGATTTGCGTCAAATTCCATGTGTCGAATTCGAGCTCCGTCCTATCACCGGTCTGTGGGGACGGTCACGGAGACAGCCCCAAGAGACGGCTGTCGGTCGCGATGAGTCGGGGGTGTCCCGCCAATTGGATTCTCTCTGCGTGGTATGGCGCATGCGCTACGTCAACATGCCTTTCTTGACGGAAAGAGCATGGAACATAGCTGATTCCGGCTTCGAACATATAACTCATGACATTTCCATGCACTTCTACCGCTTCTACCTCTACAGGAGGCGGTACACCCAACAGAATGCTGCTTTCCCATGTCCCTTACCTTCGTTTCCCACCGCTTCGGTTCCTTCGCCTTGCGGAAGGAACCGAACGATGGCCCGAACTTTTGAGAGAGACGGACTCGTCGGTTTGAGGCTTTGAGGACTCCCTGTGCTCCTCCCTGTTCTCCCCCACCGTTCCTGGCACTGCCCCATCCGCCTGTTTTCCATGGCTCTGCCCCGAACTCGGAGCGTCACAAACGTCCTCCCTCGCGTCTTCCATGGCGCCGGCGCCGGCGACGCGCCACGGGCGTTTGGGGCCAGACCTTGAGACTCGGGCGAAGCGAGCAAACCAAATGCTCCGACCTTGCGCCAACACGACCAACGGATGCCTCACGTGGCTTACCAACATCGTTTGGTTTTTAGTGTCTTTTAAGATTGTCAGCAGGACCCTGTTTAGTTGAAAAAAACAGAGGAAACATGTCGCCCTACAAGCTAAGTGCTCAGAAAGTGACTCACACACCAAGATCTTCTCACCAAGCATCATTCTCTGCATGGAAATAAAGAGAGAATTCTAGGGACTTCTCTGTCTTCTGCAAATGTCCAGTTTCCATTCCGAAGAATGGCTTTCGTCACGCTGCAAGACCACATGTTCGTGGGGCAAACCTGAAACCACATTCCTTTGCTCGTAAACGTGTGTACTGTGTCCTGACCCAAGCTCACTCCGCTCTTTTCCTCCAGATATGGCTCAGTTGTCTATGAAAAGATGAAGCACTTCAGCTTCAGAGTGCACTGTCCGGGCAGAAAATTGCTTAGGCTTAGTAGGTCAGCTTGAAGGTATCTATCGCCACTTGGTAGTCGTCACCTCAGCATGCTGTCAAAGCAGCTGTCAGAACAGTCCAAACGCAGATGTGATGTTCGACGAACTGATCTTGGAATTTGAGGGGATCTTCAGATCCTGCATCCTGGAGGGCCGTCAACGCGAACGGAATCCTGGTGTTGTGACCACGCCATATGCGGCTGAGTTGGTGTTTGAGATGGTCCACCGACTGATTCCAAATAGACAGCCAAGGCTGAGTAAGTGACTGCGAGGAAGCCCTATATATGTAGATCTCCACGCTGTCCACACCAAACAAGTAGAACAATGAACAATGACATCCAACTTTGGACAAACGCGATGGAAAGGAATTCGATCTGTCAAGGCACCTCATCCTATGCTTGTAAAACATCCTTTTCCTGTAAAACCCTGCCTCACTATACCTAGAAATCCGAACTCTGAGCCCCCAAAGACCTGAACCCCGAAGCTTTGCAACCAAAACCGGGGGATTGCATCATTCTTTTCGTCAGATACTTCTCACCATCTCACCATTTTGGGAAACTGCTTCCAGGCCACTGGAATTCCCTCATGTTCAAAACCTCGAGATGTCGCCCTCCTATGTTGCCATCGCTTCGGTCACACCGAACCGCCCACACTCCTCGGCCTCCGCGCCACGGTATTCCCACCTGGCCGACGACGCTTCGGCGACGATTCGACGACACGCTTCCTTCTGCCGAAGAAAAGGAGGGTGAGTCCTGAGCAAAACGCTGGGGGGGTGGGACTTTGGATGACTGGTTTCCCTATACAGTAGATTATGATAAATATTGTAAAAGTACGGTGAAGATTCCTAATAGTGAAGGGGTCACTATTGAAGGGACCATCAACCAGATTCTATATGCAAACGGGGAAGCTGCGGTGAGGTGAAGCACGTTGGGCTTGGGATCTTGGATCGAAAGGGTGTCATAAGTAGAGGATGTTCCAGTCTCATCATGGAAGATGAAGAGAATATTCATGTGTTCTTTCCTTCTTTTCTTTTGCGTGCTTGTGGATAGGTCATGAAGGTGCCAGATAAATCTTCACTGAAATTCTTAGCTCAATGACCATGTAGAACAAAAGAGCTGCAGCACCCAGTACACCGAGCGAATGAAACTCCATCCCAGGAGGATCAACCTGCAAATTGACTCTCAAAGCTGTAAACTTTGGACACCTTGCATTGAACCTCTGCAGTCCTTCCTTCATGCTTGGACCCCCAAATTTATCCTCATGAATGCTTCTCAGAGTAGCAGAGCTCTCGCAGCCGCTCAGTTGGAGCTTTGCCAAGCTGCTGCCGCTGGAGCTGCTGCCGCTGTGCATCCGCGCCCTCGCCGAACACCCAAACACACGACGGCCCTCTTCTCGGAGGCCTCTTCTCCTCGGAGGCGATCTGCAGCAGGAACTGCTTATTCCGGGCCACCGTCACGAGGGCCTGGTGCGCACGACGAGCTCCGCGCACAGGAGCGCCGCACACAGTGGGTGAGGGGAGTTGCAGGCTGGGGGAGAGGAGCTCCACGTCACGTCCAGAGAGGTCTCCATTTCTTCTATCAAAGCTCTTCGGAGCACAACTTCTGCCTTCACTCGGGTTGCTTGGGGGTAGCGGGTAATGGGACTAAGTCTTCCACAACACGGCCTTGACCAGCTGGAAGTCGCATCGTTCATTAGCTGATACACTGACTCTGACTCGCGTTTCCATGGGAGTGGATGGCATGCTCCCTTGGAAAACGACTGTCCTTTACGAACAGTGGGCTTTCCACTTCCATGTTAGTGAGCATAGCTACCGCTAATGTCGCCGTTTCCAGTCAGCGTAGGATATAGCTAATTGATGACTAGCTTGACGGGATGACATCCGAAAGCTGCTGGAAAGAATGGCGCAAACCTTCCTGGCACATCCTTCAGCTGCTGAGCTGCTGGTTTCTCAGTTTCCGATTGAGAGCAGGTGACTGGGTAACTGGCGGATACCACACGATGGATGTGCAAAGCTCAAAGGGTTCGCGCTCAAAGGGTTCGGTGGTTCCATGAACATAGACTTCTCCGGCCGGGAAATTGCTGCACGAATGGCTCAATGATTTTCCAGTGCCTACTGAGGTAAGTGATATTGTAACTGACTGGCTGGACTGCATGGCTACATGATCAAAGACCAAAGGTGCCTTTTTGTGTCACATCAACAGAAAAACACTCTGAAACTACTGATGCTTCAGTGATGAGTGGTGAGATGTGTCATTTCCGCACTTCCAACGCCAACTCCTTTGGACTGTTCTCCAGTTCTGTTCCGCCTTGGCTCTCGAAATGAAGACTCCGAAAACGAAGTAGCGAGCGGACGGGCACGGCCTTCTCTCAATTGGAACTCATTTGGTCCAACCACAGGGACCTTGGTTGACCACCAAAGGACTTAACGGGCATGATTTTGGAGACGGAATCCTGTACTTTAGAGACTGTCCAGCACCTGTTTCCATGTTCAACTTCTGTTCTGCTTATGGATCTCCAAACAGAACACCCCGACAGGCAGGTATGGTTTTCCTAGTCTTCAAACAAAACAATCTATATGCTAGCGATGGCCTCCAACCAGGCCTAGCAATGCCCTCGACCCCAGGCCTTGCAATGCAGTTGAAACTTTTTCCTTCCCAGCTGCCTCCCAAGTGTCTGACCAATCGTTGTCGAGCCGAGACGAGCCGAGATTGGAGATGGTGGTGTAAGCCGGGAATCCAAGCCATGCATCCACCAAGGCTGGATGCGAGAGCAGCGGGGACTCACTTTCCCTCTCAGATTCGGGGTCAAAGTCTCCCTGCCAAGAGAAAGTAGCATATACAAGCCGAAGAACGATGTCGGGAAGCAATGTGGCAAGAGACACACTGCACATTCCTCACGAACTACAGTATTTTGTGATGCAAGAGCCATGCTGACACTTCCTTCTTGGACGACAATCATCAGCACTGCGAGATAATCCTCGCCCAGCTCTCGAAAATCGGTAATCCAATCCACCTATTAGAAAACACGTCCCCCCAAATTAGAAAAACGTCGGGTGCCTTTTTTTAACAGGTCCCTGAAATTGAAATAGGGGTTGTCCCAAATAGGGTCAGTGGGAGGACCCTTTTGAAAAATCATTGATTAGCAAAAATGGAAACCCGGGAAGAGCTTCAAAACCCACAAGTCGCCTAAAATCAATTATTAAACTCGTATCAAAAGTTGAATAAACCTCCAGATCGAAGGGTGTCTTCCTTTTCCCTATGCAAAAGCCTTTATTGTAATAATGGTGATTCTGCATTAGACTAACAACTTATATAAACCTTTCAGAAGGTGATGTCGCTGCGCCATGTGGTTTTGCGGGAAGGACAACCTGCTGGTGTAAACTCGTCATGTCATGGTGGACAAACAGGATGGACAAAGGTGGGCAGTTGGGGTTCCTTTGGAACCTGTAAAAAAGAACTACCACAAAGTCGGCCATGTTGGTAGTTTAGCAGCGGATTTTAAGGGTGGTAGCGGTTTTAAAGGGTGATAATTAAACAACAAAAGAACACATAATGTATTAAATAGATGTATTATGATGTATTTAGGGCTCTTCGATATGAGTTGCTTTCTTATAGGGTAGTGCTTTCTTATTAGGTAATTACTCGGGATTATTCAGTCCATCCAAAGCATGCTACCATTCTACGGTGACCCTTGGCGACTGGATGGACAATGCTTTTTGCTTTTCAATCTGAACTCGCTTCGGAAGGTTTAATTGGTTGACACTGGCAGCCCCGCCCGCCCCGCCCAACAGGTCGTCTTTTGATGTTAGGTCGTTCGGGTTCAGGGTTGTTTAACTAAGCCATGCTGGTACTTCTCCAGCCCGAATCTAAAGCCATGGGCACCACAGGGTTTCCCTGATGTCTACCATGCAACTGCAACTATAAAAAGATGGCACAGATTCTATCTGTTAAACTCCTTTGTTCAGAGTCCAAACATCGGGGGGGACATCCGAAACCCACGTACTGTTTCTTTTCACCGTTCACACGCCAATGAGCTACTAGGAGCACGAAGCGATCCCTGAAAAAGGGGCTCCCAATGCTTTCGAAGCAGGACACATCATCATCCCTTATAGGGGCTCCCACCGGGAGAGGCTTCGGTAGCGCCCCACGGAGCTCTTATGACTGACCTTCGCTCACGCACCGAGCGCTCGTGCCCCCACCTCGCGAGGGCTTCATCGAACTTCCACTGGTAAGCGAACCTCGAGACAGGACGACGATCCGATCCGAGATCAGAGATCTTTGACAGCTTTACAAGGCAAACAAAGACAACTCAGACTCGGTCTATTTATTTGAGAAGGAAAGCCCCTGCCTGTCCCCCCAAAAAGGGTTTGTCCACTGCGTTGGTTTCATGAGCCAAAGATCGTGAACCCTGCTGCAGTGCTTTAGTGGACAACCGTGAATCATAAGTTTCTCTGCCAGGTGTTCAAACTGGCAGAGTGTTTGGTAGGCCTCGACAGTGAACTCAAACATCCTATGCTTAGGGTATTATCTATTACGTATCATAATATCTAACTTATCATATATCTATTCAGATCATTTTGGGGAACCATCCAGTTTGACCCTCCCGACATCCAAAGGATGTTTTCGCAGCACCTTTTCGCAGGCTTGGCAGGCTCCTCATTTCTTCATGCATTGGGGGCCCAGCATGGCCCAAGCATGGTGAGTCCAAAAGATTTGGCTGACTCCACCTTTCGGAGGAGAAGATCCATAACTACCAAGGAAGCTTCAGCTTATCAAGACTGCCAAGGTCCAATCTGGTTCAGTTTCAATCATGTTTCAGCCCCTGTGACCACCCCTTCTTCATCAAATCTCACTGTCCAGCCCATTGAGATTCTCACTCCTTTGCCCTTCTATATGAATGGGGACGCCCCCAACTAACGGGTGCTAGTCTATTTGGGCATGTTGTAGGGGTTCCAAATGGGGTCCAGTTCCCTATACTTCTTCAAGACGCACAGGAAAAATACACACACGGTGTCACTGATATTCTACAAGTCTCCTTCCAACTTGGCCATCTCCCTGTCCCATGCCTTGCTTTCCGCCCAGCCCGCGTCCTGCGCCCCGCTTTCTGCACTGCGTCCACCACGGCTGCTTCCCCGCCGAGGAGCTCCACGAGGTCCACGCGATGGCCCAGGTCATCTGTTTTGGAGTTCACGGAGATGATCTCCTGCCGACGTTTTGGGAGTTCCACATGCAGAAGAAGAGAGAGTTCTGAAGAGAAGCCCAGATTGAATTCCAGGTCTTCTTCTTCTTCTTCTTCTGCTTCTGCCTCTTTTTCGCTTTTCTACGACCCGACGTGGTAACTTACCCCATCGCACATGAACTTGACCCACCCCCATGGCACACCGCTTACCCCATGAATGTAAGAACTTACCCCATTTGGAAAACACAATGGCACACCGCTTCGATACAAGCACGTTTTCTCCTAGATTGTTTCTAAACCTACACGATTCCATTGCGATTCAATCTTCTACATGTTGATGTTTTCTAAGGTTTTCTGTGGGTTGCCGTGATCCAACCCCCATGGCACACCGATTCTGACCCACATGTTGGTACCCCATGGCAGCAGCAGTAGCCAACCAGCAGCAGCAGAAAACCAGCAGCAGACCGGCAGCAGCAGCGAACCAGTAGCAGCCAACCAGCAGCAAACCAACAGCAGCAAGCCCGACATATATTGATTACCATAGATTACCAAACAACAAACGCCGCTGTCCCAACATTGGTTGGGAAGCGCAACTTGAGGCTGGTTATATTCCAAGTACTAATCACAAAAAAGAACAAATACAGTATGAAATGACCAAACAATGATCGTCTACACTCCTAAACATCAAACTGCTTGGGGACACCGTTTCGCAACGATTGTTGAAAAAAACCTAATCACAATGTAGTGAAGCCAAGAACATGAAATCGTAACGGTGCACTTGGGAGTACAATAAACTTGAGACAGAATCAACAGTGTGCCCTTGCGGTTTGGTCGAATTCTCAACCTGTGATCAACAACAACAACATACATACAAAAACTTAGCCCAATCAAGCTTTCCCCCAAGGGCACACCTCATCTGGCACAAGTTCATGCCATTCGAGACAAGTTAACCCGAGCACCCAGTAGGCTCTTCTTCACAACCAAACATGTGGATTCCACTGGCACCCTCTGTTCGAAAGTCATCTTTTAGATACTTTCATATATGTTTGGAGGGTCCAGTTGTACCGAACCGGGTCGGTACGGCAGTGGATCCCTGGGGCTTCCCGGTCCTGTGGGGCGCCAGGCGGCACCAGATCTGTCAGGAGCTTCTCGGCCACCTGCGATTATTTTGCTACGACCCCTAGCCAGATCGGTCGATATCCCATCGGGTTGTGGTCGGGGTCGGGGTGCCCATACTGGCAAGGCAAGCGGGAGGAAGCATATATGGACGACTACGTGGCAACACACAAGGGTAGTGTAGTCAGTCGTGGGTTTGAAGGGTGGAAAAACGGTGCATCCGATCCACAACCATTCTACGAGCGCTGTTTGGCGTGCGAATTATGGTTTCAGAGATTCTTTCAGATGGCAGACTCTCTTGGAACCTCTGTCTGTTGCTAGTCCTAGGTGCACCTGGCTCGAGTTCCCAAGCCAAACCCAACATCTAAACCACCAAGTCCTTCGGTGTTCACCAGTCCAAATCAGCTCCCAGTGTTCACTAGCAATCCGCTTTTTGGTTGACCGATCCGCGTGGAGTCCAAAATCGTTGAACTCATGGTTGGTTCTCGTCGGTACACTCCCAGAAACAAACATGGAAGTGGACAATTCCCTGTTGGTAGTGGAAAAATCGTGTTCCAGGAGGCCAGGACGCCCACTTCCATGATTGTTGGAGGGAGGGTATATAGTGGGATGACGCAGAACATGCAACTCAACCAATGGTAGTTTCTTGGAATCACAATGACGGTGACTGTGCTCTTCAGTCCCAACACTACGAGTTCGTGACTTCAGCAATCATTTCCATCAGCTCACCATGGCGAGGTCCACAGCCATTCTTTCTCACCGGCGGCAGTTCGGATGCTTTGATCCACTCGATCCGAATCAGCACGATGGGCTCTCATCAGCACACTCCGTCGTCGTCATGCTTTAGTTGACGAAGAAAACATACATATACAGTGGACTCAGTGGACCAATGAAGACTCTGATGAGTTGCTTACGACTCATGGGATCACAAATCCCAAAAGCAACATCATAAACATCCACATGGCATCATGGGCTACGAACTGAACATCCCAGAAGTTCGTCAGATTCAACAGGTGCTGTGAGTTGCTGGTGACGTGTGCCATTTGACTCGGGCCCCGCTCCCACGGTGGAGTGGCCACCCCATGGCCGAAGCCCCTGTTCCGAATCCGCGGAGCGGAGGTGCAGCGGATCGTCCGTCGTTTTTCAGAGACCCAAGGACGTCCATGCTCATGCTCCCTTACTACCTACTTTACACGTGAGGAGTGGTGAACATGTCAAAGGACCATCATTTCATCAAAGGATCATTGTGTCCTCCCTTTCAACTTCCGATGAACATCTCGGCAATCCCCGCTGCGGTAGGGGCTTTCGGCCCTGGCGCAGCCCTCATCGCCAGCTCAAGGGTGGGACGATCTTGCCGCTCTGCGTGCGGATGCCACGCATCATCTTCAATGGCGCTTGGAGCCTCAAACGAAGGACGCAGCCCCACCAAGCAGGTTTGGGGGAGGAACTCGCGTGGTTTTTCCAGAGGGGTTGGGGGAGATGGCATGTGTTCTGGAACTGCATCAAAACCTGGATACAAATATTATCAAATATTGGAAGCTGGGCCAGAAACACCACGGAGATGCCATAATCCTGGATGGGAAAAGTGAACCAGCCGCTCCTTGTGTGGAACATCCCCCTAGTCAAATGGAGACATGGAATCTGACAACCTGTCCTGAAAGATTCCAATCGTTATGAAAAAAATGATGCATCTACAGTATCTTTTTGCGTCTCTTCCAAACAGAGTTGGCCGTTTCAGAGTTCTGGTCGCCCAGTTCTCAACTACTCATCCTGCTGGGGGGGCCCTGCTTGGTGTTTGGGGGCCTGCACGGTTCACCTCTTGAAGTGGACATTTGGAGCCAGCAGATCCAAAAGACATGGTTTTAGTCCCATCCAGTGAGAGTGGATGTGACAGGGGCACCCTGACTTCCTCCAAGAGGCACCCCTGAGGGAACTGCTGGTGTAGGGTGTTTGGAGTACATCGACTGTTTGTTCTACCAACAAGCTGCTTGGGTTGTCACGTGGCCAACTTGTCTCCTCGAAGAACTGCAAGACTTTGTGCTTTGGGAAATCGCCTTAACTGATTCTCACCCCAGTGCATCCAAGGAACACTGTCCAAATGAATGTTTGACCTGGCAAAATGCAGCTTCTTGCCAAACAGGAACTGTGGCGGCAACAAGGACAAATTGCACTGGCCACTGAACTCCGCCGATGAGAGAGGCACCAAACAGCAACCAAACAGCCCATGAACATCAAAGAAAGAGAAGCAATCGCACACATCGCTGCGGGTTCCCCACCTGCGATTTGGCTTCAGGACTTTCCAAGTTCAGTTCCCCCAATACAACCCTTCCGGACCGACGCAGTGGACTTTCCTCCGAACACCGCCGCACCTGGCGGAAAGGATGCCAAATCACCCGGACGAAGCTCCACCGCGCTTTCACCCTGGGTCCGAGGTGGGGTTGGCGCTTGGGGAGTTGGAGTGAAGTGGAAACTCAAAGTCAACAAAAACATCATATGCGTTGCTAGTTGTGCCAGCCTTTTCTGGCATTTGCATGTTCTTCATTGATGGATATGTCTTCATTTGATTGATTGTGTTTCCTCTCGGAAAACTGTTTCATCATCATCATCATCATCATCATCGTCATCGTCATCGTCATCGTCATCATCATCATCATCATCATCATCATCATCATCATCATCATCATC